TACATGTGCGGGCATCTGCATGAGTATGTAAGGAGTGCGTGTATTGGACCATGGCAGTGTTGTCTTCTATTATGTCACATTGCCTTTGGACAGTGATTTCTGCCAACTGCATTCAATGCACTAAGTGTAACAAAAATGACTTCCATTTGTACAAAAAAAAAAGAAAAAGTTGTAATCACAACAAGACAATGCCTCATCACTTCCAGCTATGTATTATTAACTTACTATCTTGTGTATTGTAGTTCTGTGAATTAGTGTTACTTTTCAAGGGGGTTAATGGTGATCATTTACCGATTTAGAGAAGGAGAGACACATCCAGCTAAACTGTGTACTAAGCAGAAAGAGCAGCAGAGAGAGTTGTGGGGACGGTACAGTGGAGAGGCAATAAATGATCAGATGAAAGCAGATGAACTGTGTTGTTTAATATCTTTATTTCTTTGTTTTCATTTTGTAAAAATGTCAGATATATATACATATATTTTATACAGCCATATACTGTTTAATACAGTCAGTATTTTCCTTTAAAACCTGCAGTTTTGAATCTTATGCTTGTTTTCTATCCTCTGATAGAATATCTAAGTACTTTCCAAGAAGCAGAGTTTTCAGAGTACAAAGTGGTTATTTTGAAATGGTTACAAGAACCAGAAAGTATTTTTAAACAACTTTTAAATCAAAACCAATAAAATGATATTGACATTTAATGTTTTCCAGATAAACTGGTGAAAATGAGTCCATGGCATGTCCTAGCTCACCTAATCAGGTGTATTTTATAGGGGGAGAATGTTTCTTTTAATTTGCTTTAAAAGAAAGGAGATGGCTTAATCCTCATTGTAAATAAGTTCAAATCATTCTGCCATTTTTTTTGTTGAAAATGGAAATATGTATAACATGAAAGTGTGTTTAAAAGGTAATTTAGAAATACTACATAGAAATCCCTATTCTAACTTTGATGGATATATTAATATTTAAAATATCCTTTTTTATATTTTCTTGGCTATCTAGTCTTTTGAGGTTAACATCTTTTTTAAGTAACTGCTTGATGATAAGTGATAAAGTTTATAAAATACACTAAACCACATCTCTCAGATAAGTCTTATCTTATAAATACATAGCAACAGCCACAAGTAGGATACTGACTGCTGTCAATTCCAAAGAACCCCACTTCGAAACAACCAAAAGCATAGTTTTATTAGGGGGGCCACATGCCGAAGGCATGGCCCACCTATTACTATTGCACATATTTATTCCGCGTATTATTTTTATAGCTTATAGTTCTCCTCGCCACAAAACTTCGGCGCGTAACTAGTCCCGCACGGTTTGTCGGATCGGGCCCAAAGTTGGCACACGCGTCGGGACCAATGGTGCGATGCGTGCTTGTATAAAACTTTCTCATTAGTCCGAAGGTTTGCGAATTATTAGCGAAAACGTCGCAAAAAAATCCCATAGGAAATGAATGGGGAGAGGTAAAAAAAAGCATAAAAAACAGCGCTTCACTGTGTCGGCATAAATTCACGTAGAAAAACAGTTTAAAGCTCAGTTTGTAGATAAATCCGTCATCTATCTAAAACTGAAGACGGTATGTTGATAACTGCTACGGTTTTTGTATAATCAGACCTCAAGCGCCACAAAGTTTTAGCAAAATCCACCCTTCTAGAGTGGAGAGACTGAAAAGCTAGAGTGTGAGGCAGCCGTTTTTTTAAGACCAAAAAACATTTTAAACTCGCCCTCACGGCCACATATTTATAGCTAGAGTCACCATTTTTGGTCAGTTTGTAGACTGAAATCTCTGGACCCACACAATGTCTTCGGAATTACGGTAGGATTAATACTTTTCCTTAAAAACCCTCCAGACCGACCTCAAGTCGATGAAAATCAGAGCCGTTTTTCATTGGTTTTGGAACAGCAGAGGGGAGAAAAACGAATGACATTATGTGTTTTAAACTCGTCATAAATATTGTTCTGAAAGACACACATACACCAAAGTTGGCATAGTTGGAGTCGAAGGATGGCTGACGCTCACGGTGAAAGAATTTTTTGAATAACTCATACGGTTTTTGCTCAGCAGTCGTTTGTTCGGAGGACATTTTAAGCACCAGAAAGCTGGGTGACAGTGTCCTGCTGCAGCTAGCTCAATTAGAAGCTCAGGTGTGAGGAAACGTTTTTTTTTTTCTTTCTCTTCCCATTCAGGTTGTAGATGACCTACAGCCATGAAAGTTACTCTAATTGAAGTAAAGATATAGCTGTAGCTTAGATAAAAATAATTTTTCAGATATCATTTATGGTTTTTACTCAGCAGTCATTTGTTCGGAGGGGTGCTATAGCAGCTTAAAGATGACAGAGTGTGGTGCTGCAGTTTAAACAAAGGGAGGAGCAGGTGGGATCAGCCATTTTGTTTGTGCTTCGTTTTGGGTTGTGAAAGACCTACAGACATGAAGGTTACCCCAGTCTGAGACAAAGGATAGATGTTTCTTTCACTGAAAGAATTTTTCTAATACCTTTTACGGTTTTTGCTCAGCAGTCGTTTGTTCGGAGGGGTGCTATAGCAGCTTAAAGGTGACAGAGTGTGGTGCTGCAGTTTAAACAAAGGGAGGAGCAGGTGGGATCAGCCATTTTGTTTGTGCTTCGTTTTGGGTTGTGAAAGACCTACAGACATGAAGGTTACTCTAATTGAAGTAAAGATATAGCTGTAGCTTAGATAAAAATAATTTTTCAGATATCATTTATGGTTTTTACTCAGCAGTCCTTTGTTCGGAGGGGGGCTTTAGCAGCTTAAAGGTGAGTGAGAGTGTGTTGCTGCAGCTAGCTCAGTTAGAAGCTAAGGACTGAGGACCCGTTTTTTCTTATTCTTTCTCTTCCCATTCAGGTTGTAGATGACCTACAGCCATGAAAGTTACTCCAATTGAAGACAAGATATAGCTTTAGCTTAGATAAAAATAATTTTTCAGATACCTTTTACGGTTTTTACTCAGCTGTCGTTTGTTCGGAGGGGTGCTATAGCAGCTTAAAGGTGACAGAGTGTGGTGCTGCAGTTTAAACAAAGGGAGGAGCAGGTGGGATCAGCCATTTTGTTTGTGCTTCGTTTTGGGTTGTGAAAGACCTACAGACATGAAGGTTACCCCAGTCTGAGACAAAGGATAGATGTTGCTTTCACTGAAAGAATTTTTCTAATACCTATTACGGTTTTTGCTCAGCAGTCGTTTGTTCAGCAGCTGTTCCTCCCATTCAAAAAAGCCTGAGAGCTAAGGAACGATAGTGCTGCGCTTTTCTCTCTGTCACTGACAGGCTCGTTAAGCGTTGTCAAGGTAACCGTGCTTCAAAGAGATTTTACCTCTGCTGTTTTAAACAGCACATATTAATCCAATGGAGGGTGAAAGCACTGATTTAACATTGGAAAATGGACACTATATGACTGCTGTCCATGACACTTCCCTTGCCACTCAACACTGATAGACTTTCAAAATAAGACTCCAGGGACCCTACAAAATAAAAGCCTCTATATTTTTTACATATATTTATTGCCCTATATGGCTCAACATTATGACCCAAACTCAACCCCATTTTAGAGAATAGACTCTAGGAGACTGTTTAAAACACACCCTATGGCAAATTTCAAAATAAAAGCCTCCCATTTCCGCTTCATCTACTGCCCTAATAACATGGAAAAAGAGTGATTTAACGATTGGAAAGTCATCAACTATGATTGCTGGGTCTGAACATTTTCTCTAAACACAACTCTGTTGGACTTTCAAAATAAGACTCCAGGGACCCTACAAAATAAAAGCCTCTAGATTATACTAATGCAATAATTGATGCAAATGGCTCAACATTATGACCCAAACTCTTCCAGGTTGTTTTTATTAGACTCTAGTGACGTTTTCAAAACACACCCCAGAGCAAATTTCACAATAAAAGTCTCCCATTTACTCTGTAATACAGCAGCTATTCACCTAATAACATGGAAAACCAGTGATTTAACATTTGGAAATGGATTCTATATCACTGCTGGGCATGACCCATCTTTTGATGCACATCCATGATAGACTTTCAAAATAAGACTACAGGGACTCTACAGAATAAAAGCCTCTTCCTTATACACACTCATACATTCTGGCATATTGCTCATAGCCATTTGTAATTTCATCACTGCAATGGCTCTGAGCATGCGGGCGGAGCCCGCCATTGGTGATTTCATCACTGCAATGGCTCTTAGAAGGCGGGCGAAGCCCGCCAATGGTGATTTCATCACTGCAATGGCTCTTAGCAGGCGGGCGGAGCCCGCCATTGGTGATTTTTTTCATCGCTGCAAGGGCTCCTAGCAGGCGGGCGGAGCCCGCCAACTGCGCTTTACCCACTGCGGTTCAATATGGACAACCCATATTACCCTTGTGCATCATATGCTGTGCACGTCTATTTCCCAGATTTCAGCACAAGTGGCACACAGCTCTCTTTGCCCATGACCTAGCCCTCTTTCCTTCCCTCAGCAGCCCTCAAAGGCGTAAGCAGTTGGTCTGGGGAGCCCCGACGTCACTTGCCAGGGCCGTATTGGCCCAGTTACCCAGACGGGCAGTAGGTGGCCCCCCTCAAAATTTCTTTAGAAATTTTCTAGTTACTTCTGCAGCTGTATGGAAATAAGGAAAAACTGAATATGTGACTCATTAACTATTTCTGCAGGTTGATCATTCATCTAATGAGTGTGATAAGGAAGTCATATTGTCTTACATGGAAGACGTTTCTGATAATGTCTGATCAGTGTACTTAAAGTAAGCATGTGATTGGACCTTCAGACTTCTGTACTTATAAATATCTTCTAGAATAATATATAAAAATATTTACTCATATCTATGTATGTAAAAGACAGGTATTGTTTGGTGATGCGTTGAACTTTTGGATGGAAGTTGATTTAATAGTTTGATCTGTAAGCTTAAAGTTAGGGCTAGTCTTATCCAAAATTGAAATATAAATGTTTCAAAGAGGCCTCTGCATTTGAATGTAACAGCTTAAGGGAAATATAAAGTTTAGACTTTAGATCTGCTCAGCGTGGTTTCATCAGTCATAGCTGCTGTGATTGACTGGTAGATTTCATGCTTTCTTTTCTAAAGTGTAAACTGATGGGCACACAGCACCATGAGCCTCCATTTACACCCAGCTTCTCTCCCGCTCTTTGCTCCTTCTCATGAAGGCCATAAAAACAGAGTCTCATTAGTCCCGGGTTACATTCTCCCACTCATCCCCCACCTTCCGCCATCTCTCACACGCAGCACCACACAGAGAGCCGCAATGACGTATTGCTAGCCGTCTCATTATACCATATCATAAAAAGCTGGTCGCCACGGCAACAGATCCCTGTGTTTCCCTGGCAACCGGCCGCCATGTCAAGGTGGCGCATTTCTCCCCCGCTGAATGAGGGGGGAGGAGATCATGGCAACCAATGCAGAGCGATGAAACATGGAGAGAAAGAGGGCGAGCTGAAGATATCTGGATTTGAAAACTCACGACCCCTGCTGGTCACATCTGGGTATCATATGGAAGGTCCTAAAATAAGAAAGATGTAAGCCTTTACATCAGGATTGATAATGAAAAGGATGTCATTTGAGGTGTTTGGAGGGTGATAAGTGTTTCACTCACAAGCGCGATCTCCACCTTTCCCTGTTTCTCGAGAATATGAAGAACTGCATCATGAACCGAGACAAACAGCAAGTTCTTTGGGATGGACTCTGAGAAGAAGTTTGCCCTCTCCATCTGCTCCACCACACAGCCTATGTTCATAGCACATAAAGATAGGACAGGGCTCATGATTTTAAGACATTGATACAATAATATTCACATATATTATCGTATATGCTTGTGTTATTTATTTCTTTATGTCTCCCCTCTTCTTTTTTAATGCACCCTTTGAAGGAATGTTGTCTGGTCATAAATGTAACAATTACAGTAAAGGTGATTCCGATTGGCTGCTCAGTGGAACAGTGGGTAGCACTGCTGCCTTGCAGCAAGAAGGTTCTGGGTTTGATTCCCGGCCCAGGGTCTTTCTGCATGGAGTTTGCATGTTCTCCCTGAGCATGCGTGGGTTCTCTCCGGGTACTCTAGCTTCCTCCCACAGTCCAAAAACATGACTGTTAATTGTCATGTTAAATGACTGGTTAATTGGCTTCTCTACAGTCCCCTCATGTGTGAGTGTGTGTGTGAATGGTTGTTTGTCATGTTTGTCTCTGTGTTGCCCTGCGATGGACTGGCGACCTGTCCAGGGTGTACCCCGCCTCTCGCCCATTGACTGCTGGAGATAGGCACCAGCACCCCTTGCAACCCCACTCGGGGTAAGCGTGCTAGAAAATGGATGGATGGGTGATTCAGATTCTTCCCATCAAAGGATATTATCATGATATAGTCTGCTTGACCTTCAAGTAATATTCTGAACAATGTGGCACAGCAGGGGTTAAGACCTTGATGCATTCGTTTACTATCAAGACTTAGTGTCTTTGATTCTCCATTGACACCAACTCTATCTCTGTTTTGTCTACTGTATGCTTTACCTTGACAGCCAGCTAGATAGATTGCCACGCCAACGTCTCCAAAATCCCTGAAAATCTGAAATAAGAACAAAACTTCTTTGAATGGTTGTCAATCTTCTCTTAATGAACTATTGAAGGAAATCCCTGCCCTGGACAGACATACGTTTTTCAGTGTATTTACTGTGACCGTGTCCACAGAGCTGGTCATTGAAACATCCAAAATGATGCTGTGGGTGCCAGATCTGCAGTTGCTGTTTTTCCACTCTTCCACTGATTGTGATACCGCAGTAATATCCTCATATGTGTCTGAATCAGAGTCTGATGTTATCCTGTCTGCATGATAAGCCCAGTTAACATGGCCCTTCCCAGACAAGTTTGGATCCGTGCCTGTCACGCTCAAAACCATGCCATTCTGACTATTCTTCCTGTTATTCAGCTTCTGCCAAAAAGTGGAGGGAAAAGATTACAACATTTCTATTTGACTCGGTATAACATTAGTTCCAGCAAACATACATTTTTCTTTGCTTCATCTTTTTCCTTTTTCTTCTCTCTCTGTTGTTGACGCCTCTGTTTGGCCTCCTGTTTCTTCTTCTCGGTGTGCAGCTTTCCAATGTCAATTCCGCTCTGCACAGATTAAGTCAGAGAAGGAAAAAATGAACCAGGAGGGAGAGCTAAGGAAGCCAGCAGGGCTGATGTTACCAGCAGAATCTCCTGGACACACCTTCTCTTGAAGTGACTCCAAGTACATTTCGGAGTTTGTGAAGTTGATAGTGGCAGAGGAGCGGAAGATTTTGATTCCTGGGATCTCTTTAGCCTACATGGAAGCAAGTTTTAGAAAAAGAACACAGTTTTATCATTTTGTGTGTGTATGTGTATCTAAAACATACAAGCTAGCCTAATGAAAACCTTTATCTATCGAAGCAAACTGAGACATAAGTCTCCCAATCAACTCTCTTCAGCTCAATCAGGTATATTCTATAATATTCCAAGGATTTATGTGTTATATAAATCTTCCCCAGAGAGTTCAACAAAAATAAAAACAAGGATTTCACTACCCTACTAACTTATAGCATAGCATATATACCTATTAGATAGATGTATGAAGAGGGTCAATTCCTGGTAAGAGATACTTGTTCAGAAATTGAAACTGCTGAATACAAACAAATTTTCCCTAAACTAAATAAATAAGACCATTATGACCTTTGGCCAAATTTCCTCATTGATTCTATTTTTTTTCCCATTTATTAAAATATATTATACGTAGATGGCGCTGCGCATGCAGCAGCTTGTTATGTCGACCCCGTGCTCTCCTTTCTTTGGAATGTGAGTACATTTCTCCACTGTGGGATCAATAAAGTTAGTCAATCAATTGATCAATCAAGAAATTTGCTCTGGAGCAATGATGTTACCTCTTTGTAAGCCTCTATGTCCAGATAAAGGTCTGTGCCCGGTACATTGCCCAAAATTGAGTACCTAGGTCTGAAACATGTAAAAACAACATAAGAACAAGCATCTTGTTGCAGTGTTGCACCAACTGGAACATTGTATAATCTTTATCAATGAGTATGATCAAAGATGTGTTGTTACAGTTGTGTTTTGAAGATGACTGTGAGTATGGAAAAGCCAATGGAGACAGCCAGACCCATGTCCAGGTTGAGCAGGATGGTGCTAACAAATGTGACCAGCCACACAAGCTGCGTGACAAAGACATCAAAAAGTTTTCAGCAACAGCCGCTCAACAGGCAGTATTTAAACCAAACTGGAAGAGTCAGCCTCACCAAGTCAACCTTGTTAGTCCTCCACAGCAAGGGCACGTCCATAAACTGCTTGAACATTCCTTTCAGATTCACAAAAACGATTGTAGATAAGACAGCCTGAAGAAACAAAGATAAATTCAAAATAAACCCACAGCTTTAATAAGTGGGAATTTAGATTGATGGTAGGTGTTATGGTGATGAACCAGATTTAAGTTTTTCCCGTTTCACAAACCCAAACAAGGTTACTTGTTAGTGAAAAATAATTCAGTCCAGATTCTTAAAATAAATATTTGCATGTTTTTGTTATTCTAAGTCTTGATGCAAAAAGTATGCTTCTGTTGTTTTGATTAAAAATAATATATTTAATCAATCTAAAACTGTTCTCCAAAGAATCGACTGGAAATGATCCAAACAACTGAAGATGATTGAATACACATTTTTCAAAATAAGTGCAACGGCCCACCAATTTAATTCTGATTGGGAAACTTGGATCAGATGAGGATACATCCTTTTCTTTATGAACACATTATTTCAACACTCGTATATTATATATATTAGCACTATTAACACCTGAGGATTTAGTAACCAAAGAAAGTAACCAGTGGTACACTGGTGAAGGTTCTCAGTCATCCAGGTCATAGACATTCCAAAAAAGAAGTTGAAGATGTTTCGCTTGCCACCCGGGAAGCTTTTTGCATTCAAAATGTCAGGAATAGCGTTGAATTTGAGGCTTTATACAGTAGCCCAACAAAGCCTTGTTTTTATTTTGAAAACATGCAAATTGGAACAGGCGAAGGTGTCCACCCATTTGGAATGTGGGTCATTTGGCTGCTTTTGTTAGACTGCAATGCCCAATACCCATCTAAGTGTCTGAAAGGTCGGTCATTTAAGGGGATTTTTGGCCTGGCTAATTAGACGAGGGCCTCCACTCTCCTGTACAGGGGATGGGAAAGATTTTAACTCAATTGCTGGCAATGGCTTCCTTTGCGCCCCATTCAAACAACCTATTTTCTTGATCCAAAATGTGACCATTCTGGTCCTCAAAAGAATGTCGTTTGTCCATAAGGTGTAGATGTACCGCAGAGTCTTGTCCGGAGGAGGTAGCTCTTCTGTGTTGGGCCATGCGTCTGTGGAGAGGTTGTTTAGTTTCTCCAATATAAAGATCAGAGCATTCCCCACTGCACTGAACTGCATACACCACTCCACTCATATTTGGTTTGGGTTTTTTTTCCTTAGGATGAAATGTGCTGAAATTTTGTGTTTGGAGAAAATCCTCTTGAGTTTTTCAGAGACTCCAGCAACATATGGGATGGCAATGTTTTTGCATTTGAACTTCTCACCGTTGTGTTTTGCTGCGTGTCTTTTGGATTTCCTTGCTGATTTGACAAACACTCAGGTTAGGGTATCCACCGGTTTGAAAAGCATCTGTGATGTGTTTCTGTTTTTGTGCTTTACCTCTGTTTTTGTGCTTTACCTCTGTTTTTGTTGGGACACGCTCAGCGTGATGTTGTAAGGTATCGATGACTGACGTTTTGTGTTCCAGTGAGTGTTGTAAGTCAAAAAGAACATACTGATCTGTGTGAGTGGATTTCCTATAGAATTCAATGTTGTAAGGTCCTGATGACTGGAAATTTGTGTTCCAGTTGGTGGTGTAAGTCAGCTTTGAAGAGCATTTTTGATGTGTTTCTGTTCTTTGTGCTTCCCTTCTGTTTTTGTAGGGACACGCTCAGCGCGATGTTGTAAGGTTCTGATGACTGACAGCTGTGTTCCAGTGGGTGGTGAGTCAAAAAGAAGATATTGGTCTGTTTGAGTGGATTTCCTATAGAATCCAATGTTGGGGTTTCCATCTCCTTCCATGCTCACCAAGCAGTCCAGAAAAGGTAGCTGGTTGTATGTTCACATTTTTGGACAACCAGTTACCTTTTCTGGACTGTTTGGTGAGCATGGAAGGAGATGGAAACCTCAACATTGAATTCTATAGAATTTCCACTCACACAGACCAAAATGTTCTTTTTGACTCACACCACCCACTGGAATGAATTGCAAAAGCTTCCTGGCTGGGAAGCAAAATGCGTTCAAACTTGGAAATAAATTCCAGTAGATTGTTTTGTAATTTTCTCTTTTGGAATAACCAGTGGTACATGCCTTGGGAAGGTCTTCAAACAGGGAGCCTATTTTCAAGACTGTGATGAGCACAATGACAGAGGAGACCACCCCAGCAACCTAAAAAAAACAACAAAAAAAACATGTGTAAATCTGCAACATCTAAAGCTGAGCATTTAAACTGAGCTCCTGATTACTCCTACAGTAGATTCTAAAGCAGCACCCTTTATAACTTAACATAAACATTGACTTGACATGTGAGAAAGTCTAACATATATTTTTTTTCTTTATCCATGTGATCAAATTAAAAAAACATTTTTTTTACTTGTGTTTTCCCCCCGGTGCTCTCCTGTACAAGACTCCGAGACAACGAGGAAGTCACAGCGTAACAACGGAAAAACCCACCAATGGCGTTACAGAGACCAATAGCAACAAGCTCCTTGAAGAACAAAAACAGTCAAACAGGAGACAAAACATTAGTTTAATGTTAACCACCTTAGAAACTGGTTGATAAAAATCAATGCCTTTCAGAACATATATATTTGATCTACATTTTGTTTCACTGTAGGGCCTTTCTGTATTCACATAGATGTTGCAACTTTTGTGGATCAATATCAGTGTTCTGTTTTATGTCTTGTTCTGGGGTAGTTTTCCTTACCACTATACTGAGAGCAGTCGCCAGCAGTAGATTAGAGACATTTGATCATGTAAAGCTTGTTGAGCATGAAAGATTTAACAGGCCCATTTAGTCGTCTGAGTGCAGTGAATCTACTTCTCTCCACAGCAACACATTCATAGACCAACATACATTAGAGAACATGCATATGCTGCTAAGAGTTCTGACTAAAAGGACTTCAGCTTAGCAGGAATAATTTTATCAGAAAATTATTGAGATAAGGTAAATTCTTTCTATGACAAGACAATGATTTTAAAGCCCTGGTCAAGGTTTAATGATCTTATCAGAAGACAGTAAAAAATAACAACTGGCATGATGGGACCCCGACTCTTAACTTGACTTATATATAGTTGTTTTATCTAATGTATCAACTGTCCAAAACCTATTCAAATCTCATCTGTTGTATTTTATTCAGACTAGATAACCGAAAGCTTAACCTTTACTGAATTTACTATAAATTACAACAATGATCACATGATAGCATTTTGAAATATGCTTTTTTTCATAAAAGGCAGACCAGAATTGATTTTATGCAGTTGAATGTAATTAGAATATGGATGGTTCAAAATCTAGAAGCAAAGTGGGAATGAGACAAACATTCTGATTTGAGGTATAGATCAAAAGACCTTTTAAAATTAGACTGTTCAATATTAATGTTATTTTACTGAAAATCAGTGCTAAACATATAGGTGCTTTAATGTTGTGATGATTGTTATTATATTAACTAATCTACATTCCTATCATGTTATGAGCTTTATTGCTGCCAACCATATTAATAGCTTTAATGTTTTAATTTAGCATTAATCTAAAATAGGCTCTAAAAATATGTGAAATTTTACAGTGTCTTGCAAAAAAAAAAATATACTACTGGACTTTTTTCTCTTTCATGTTGTTAGAGCGTGACACTGATTTATTCTATTGGGATGATTGACCAACACAAAGTAGAGTATAATGGTAAAGGTTAAAGAAGTGTTTAATGTTTTAAGATTTATTTATGGTAAAAATTTAAAAATAAATGATGTGCAGTGAATTAACATTTTTCACCCTTTACTCTGATATGCCTAACTGGAATACAGTGCAGCCCATACAGTGAAAACTCACATACACTGGTGTGTCATGAGGACCATGGTGCTCACCAGAGACGTTAGTGATAAAGCTGTGAAGCATTGGACAGCAGAACCTGTTTTATAAAAAAATATTCCAAGCCTTTGATGTTTTATGAGGCAGAAATTAGAGTAATGAGGATGGGATAATCTGCAACCATACTAAGATATGGTTCAACTAAACTGACAGTTCAGCAGAGAAGTAGCCAAGAGTCCAAAGGCAACTCTGGAGACGCTGCAGAGATTCAAAGCTCAGAAGCAGATGGGGATCTGTTGATAGGAAAACTATTATTCATAAAGTCTAAATATATTGCCTTTATGGAAGAGTGACAAGAAGAAAATCGATATCAAACAAAGATGTAAAATGTCTGATAAGATACAAAATGAATGGTGGAAAACCAACAGCACACATCATCCTGAACTCACCATTTACCAACAGGGGGAAAAATGGTGGGATGCTCCTCTTCAGCAGAGACTGCACTGTTTGAAGTATTTATTGGAAAGCTAGATGAAGTTGACTAAAAGCCAAATTTAAAAGAAAATCTGTTAAAGGCTGCGAAATCAACTAAGGTTTACTTTTCTGCATAATAAGTATTTTGAAGTGATCACAGAATGCAGTGTCCGAATAGTTCAGTCAACAATCAGACCTAAATCCAAGAAATAATTGGCAAAACTTTTAATCTTTGGTTTTGCAAGGTTCTTAATACTAAGAACTTGATCCGACAGCATATCGGTTTAGGTGAACTGAATGCAAATTGCTGTTTCAGATTTTTGCCAGTGAGACTTTAAAACCCATTTATGTCTTTTCTTGTAGTCATAATACTTTGTGTTGCTCCAACAGGGCAAGATATGAAAAACCTGAAGGTGTATCAATAGTTTTGCAGGACACTATATAGCAGTGGAGTTATTTCTGCCTGTGCTCTCAGGAAGATCAGTCATTTTTTCCACAGGCGTGACAGTCATGAACAACTGTGAGTGATCAAGAGCAAACTCTAATTTCAGTGCAGTGATTCAGTGTCATTGAAACTGTCAGCTGTTTGTGGGTATGAACTCCTCACCTGGTTGCTGTCCACCTTGTAGCCATGTTTGAGGCCGAATGTTTTTCCCAGAGAAATGCTGATGGCGTAGCCTACTATTGCCACAGCAAAAGCATCACCTATAATCTTTGAGAACAGAGTTGTATCAGGAGCTCGGGGGACCTTGAGCCTAAAGAAAGAGAAAATCTGTTTGGTTTTTGTTCCAATAAAAAAAGAGATTCAGTCATTAACCTTTAATTTAACCAAAAATGCATCCTATGATTTAAAAATGTCTTTTTATTTTGATTTTTTTTAGTATTATGCTTGTTTGGAGTTTTTCCTCAAGGTTTAATCAGAAACTAATATTTTTCTACTTCTTATCAACATTGTCCTGACCTGTCTAGCAGGAAATGAGAAACTGTTTTCACTTCTGTGTAGGCTCCTGATTTCTTTCTCTTTTGCCTAAAAGTTTTCCACATTTAGAAGAGACACAGAACTCACCCACTGGGAATCTCCCCAACAACATCAACTAAATATTCACTGCGGAGTCCACAAAAGTAGGTTATGATTGTTGCTCCAACAACCTGGGGGGAAGCAATGGCAAACAGGATTCTGGTTTAAAATTAGAACCAAGAGTAAATCATTACTTTGCTTACTTATACAGGACTTCTTTTTGGAAAGTTCCTAACAAGCCTCTGATTGGCTCAAATTTATGGAAATGCTACCCTCTGGTGGACTTTTATAGAAAAACAGCAGCAAGTTATGGCATCATGATTGATAATACTTACAACTATGAGCTCAATAGGGATTGGTAATGGCAGCTTCCGTCTGTAGCAACCATTGATTTCTTTAACGATGATTAGAATTGTAAGAGACACTAGACTGACCACCAGCTCTGGGACTCTTGTCTGAGGCAGGAGTTTGCAAATGTCCACTATAGTCTGTGTAAAAGACAACAATAAACACAATAAGTGTTATCTACTCTACAGGTAATCATAAGGTGGTGTTTTTTGCGTGCTTTGAAATGATCAGATCGTAACTTAAAGAAAAACGGAGGAAAGAAAGGAATGTGTTTTTCATCTCTCACATAAATAAGGGAGAGAGGGCCAGTGAAGCGATCTGGTGTGACTCCAAACAAGTATTTCAGCTGAGAGACACACACGTGGCATGCTGATGCCGTGGTGTAGCCTCGAACAAGCGGCTCAGAGAGATAGGTCACCACGAAACCAAACCTGACCACCCCCAGCAGAATCTTAGGATGGAAAATAAGAGAGGAAAATCAGTTTGGATGATTGTGCTCAGACCAAACAAAGACAGAGAGACTCACCTGAAAGATTCCTGCCAGGACTGTGAGGGAACAGGCCACCTGCGTTCTGTACGAGTCTCTTGCAGTGATGTCCAAACCCTCTGTACCATTGGTACCATTTACATAAAAACTACTGTCTGGTGCAAGCTTCTCTGTCACACTTCCAACCATGATGCTGATCACAGCAAATGTCCCTAGACACACACAAAAAAACAAAAACATACAAAAATCCAGGTATTAATGCAGACATTTTCACTCTCAAAGATATAAAGGGTCAAAAATGATTTGTCATTTGAATATTTCCACTCACCTACAGAAATGTGCCTGGAGGTGCCAAAGATAAAGTAGACCAGCACCGGGTAGAGGGAGGAATAAAGTCCCAACACAGGGCGTAAGGAGGCCAGAAGAGCATACGCCATGCCTGATGGAGCAAACAATGAAAAGTATTACTAGAAGATTAAATGCTTTACAGATTCCTTATTTTATACATGCATTATTACAAACCCTGGGGCAGATGCATGATTCCCACACTACAGCCAGAGATCAGGTCACCAATGATATTTTCTCGAAACGGGTATTTAGGCAGCCAGGCTAGAACGGGTATCCAGGTCAGGACTATGTCCTTCAGCCGTGGCACAGAACACCTACAGCAATGAGAACAAAAACACAAAACCTTTTTCTTTGCTTTGTTTTGTAAGCGGAAAACTGCTTTTTGTCTTACTTATAAGATGCAAGAACAGGTGCATATTTCAAAGGATACTGATACATTATACTTGGGAAATGTAGCAGCTGTAGCCATGTTTATCAGTTGGCCTTGTAAACAGTGGCACTAAAAGCATTGCTGTTCCTTTTATTGAAATAGTACCTACAACTACTGTTTACTGCATTCAGAACACCTCGAAGTATATTAGTTAACCCACTGCATAAAAGAGAAATGGAATAAATCATAAATATTTTTTCAATCCCTTTTAGTTCCATAGTTACAAATTACTTTAAGAAATAAAAAAAATCTTTAGCAAATCAAGGCCTTTAGGGATCCTACCCTCATATTTAAGTCCATAAAGTCCATTTACCTTAGCATTTCCTTCACCCGTTCACCCACAGTTGGTTTGTGGGTCCAATTCCCTTTTTGTGCAACCACATCCAAACGGGATTCATCCAGAACTTCCCTTCGGATAATATACTCCTGATGAGAAGAGTCTGCATCCTCCATATCCTTGTCTGTTCGAAGAGTTTTCTTTAAAACTGCTTGGTGTTTAAGTTTCCTGGTCTCTGCTGGTAAAAATGAAATGTCTCAGTGCTAACTAAAACAGCTTGTTTCTTTTTAAACCGTGGGAGTGACTGGAACAGAAATCTAACTTGGTGAGTGGGAGTGACTGTTTATTTCCTGTCCTCAAAAGAGACATCACCACTCCACATACCTCTGATACGTGCACACACAAACACCTGCAGGCATATGTATGTGCTATGTGAGCATCCATGTGTGTTACCTGTTATGATTAACTTGGTGCAACTAAGCTGAGTGGCCAAACTTTAAAAAAGCTTAAAATCAGCTAAACTTGCAAACGCAGCATTTGTGAGCAACTGAAATTGAAAGATAATGAATATTTCATCTATATACATTAAAAGTACTAACAAATAATTTTGAAACATTAGAATATCCACAGTCTTTGTACATATTTCACTACATTTCTGTGGATGAATGAGAATTAAAATCTTATCTTTATGACCTCCAAAAATTTTCATCTCAGGGCCTAAAAGATAACAGATGACCCTGTGGGTTTATTGTTAGAGATGCTCAGACACAGTTTTTCATGATCCAGTCCGATACCTGGGTGGAGGGTATCGGCTGATATCCGATGCCAATCATATTCAACTGTTGAATGAATGTACCATATGTCTTAGCATGTGAGTGAAGGCTTTAACCTTGACATAAACATTGTTAAAAAAGGTAACAAATAAACACAGATATAAATGTAGTTTATATAATTAATTGACAAATAAACAGAAAAGAAAGAAAGAAAGAAAGAAAGAAAGAAAGAAAGAAAGAAAGAAAGAAAGAAAATATAAAATCACCAATATCCGATCCAGCTGATTAGTCAATATATTTATTATTAATCCATCCATCCATTATCTGACACGCTTGTCCATCACAGGGCAACACAGAGACAAACAACCATTCACGCACACAGTCACACCTAAGGACAATTTAGAGAAGCCAATTAACCTAACAGTCATGTTTTTGGACTGTGGGATGAAGCCAGAGTACCCAGAGAGAACCCACGCATGCTCAGGGAGAACATGCAAACTCCATGCAGAAAGACCCTGGGCCGGGAATCTTTGTCAGCCAAAGTTATTTATATTTAGATGTATTTAAAGGAAACAGGTTGATTGTTCTTACTTTTAATTAGGGTATTTATAGGATTGCTGATTACAAAATGACATTAAGTAAAACTTGCTCAAATGTTATTAGACTGGATGGTGAGCATCTGTTATAATATATAACATAATTAAGGTTATACCACCCTAAACCGTCATAGTGTAGCTTTGTCTGTATATTGAGTCGCATTGTGGGACCGTTAACCTGCTCTCAATTCCCTCATGGCGTCCAGTAGGTTGTCATCTTTGGAGTTCACTTTCATCCATCTCCACTTCAGCGTCAGTAAACTTCTTTATCTCCCAGAGCACAAACTTGGAAATGTTTTTACACTGTTGATACAGTGTGGGGATGGTGTGCTTAGTCTGATTTTAGTTAGATTTGCATGTAAACCAAGATGTTTAATGTTTCTGTCATATTGCCTATAGAGTAAATGTTTAAAATCTGATGATTGTTCAGCTGATTTCTCAGATGTCATCTAACCTGATTGGTAATATTTTATTAGGATTCTTTATGTACCTCACAAAGTTTTACAAAAAAAGAGAATTAAATTTGTTTATTCCTTTTTTTTTCCATTGTCTTTTATGTTCCTCCCAACTATTTATAATAATCATGGCTTTCATTATTGATTTTCAATCTCTTTCTTAAAATGTAGTGAAAACTTAGAATGATTTAATATTCTGTATATTGCTCTTTTTCAAAATAAACGAAAATACAGCTGGTGAAATGAGATGCTTGACACTGTTTTATCTGTAACTGTAAAAATTATTTTTTTTTTTTTTTTTTTTTTGCAATTCAAGTCTGTTTACAATTTTAGTTTGATAAATCTTTTTAAATTTTGGATCAGAAAAAAACAAACTGCAACAATTGGTGGAATTGGAAAGAAATGCTTAATGACTTGTATAAAATGTGTAGCTTTAACTCAGCCAATCTATAATCTATACTGAATAATTGGGGGATTGACATATTAACATCTTTTTGATTTAGATATATATATATTTTTTTAGATTAATAAGAGTGAGAAGATGGGTGGATGGTATGGGGGTTCAAATGGAATGATGTGCAACAAAGTGAATGTATGAATAAAGTGGCTTGGAAAAAAAACAGATAGCGTTGTTTACATTGAGGCATATTTTTGTTTTGAACCACTTGTCTATGAAGTAAAAGCTTTAAATATCACGAAAAATAATGTTTAAAACTACCCAAAGAAATTCAGATCTGACTGCAATGGTTTTATGCTTTTTGATTTCCTTTTACAATTATTTGAAAATAACATGTTTTAGCACTTTCTAGGACAAATCAGTTTAGGCACTTTAAATTACACCACACAGCATGTACTGCATGTTGATCTGTTATCAGACTAAATATTTTGTTCCCTTCTATTCAGTGACAACTAGTAAAAACTATTTTCTATTCAGGACTTGGGTAAAAGAACAACTGGCTCATAGAAAAAAAAACAAAAAAAAAACAAGAACACATAGTAATAGATGAATGTTAGAGGAAACATTTCTCTACACATTAACCATTGTCCCTGTCACACACATGTAAATGTGTGATGTTAAAACTCTGGAACATTTTGATGACCAAGCAAAGCTTAGAGAACAACTTGTTTGAACTGAGAAAACATTAAATCAGACATTAAAAATGTAATGGTTGTTGCTCTGGATCTTAAAATGTTTTGTTAAACATTCTATTTTAGAAAAAAAGTGCATTCTTGGAAATTTCCATGCTGAAAGCAAAGAAAATTATTTTGAATCTCAAAACATTTTCTATGATCAAGTTTCCATTTTGTTTGAATTTGCCATGTCTTAATTACAATCTTTGTTTTTCATTATGAAATTTATTTAGCTTTTCAATATTAATGTCTCTATTGCTGTTGTTTTCTTATTTATTGTTGATAAAAATCGCAGTTAAAGTGATAGTTGCAAACCTTTAGCCGTTGACACCAAATGACAAAACACCTAAATAAAGCAGCAACTGCTTAGTCATAATGATGTTACAAATGTTGCTTTTCAGTCTTCACCTCTTACAAATTATCAACCACATTAACAGGGCTAAGCAAACACAAACATCCTAAAAAAGAAGCTGTTATCTGGAGTTTGACTTGTCTTCAGACTTTAGGATGCTGCCACTCACCTCCGAGCAGTTATCTAAAGCATCTCTAATCCAAAGCTAAATAGCGGGTAAAGTCTGTTGCCTGCTTTGACAAGTTAAATAATAACATTTTAAAAGTCAGCCTGTTTTTTTCCCCAACCTTGAAGCTGAAAAAGTAATTTTGTATATAGATAAAAAAAATATAGTGGGACTTCAAAGGTAGTCTCACCCACTGATTTTTAAAAAATATTCTGTCCAATTACAACCTTTATTTCTTTAATGTTTTATTTGTTTTGCTTCTCTGTCTAAAGCATGATGCTACCAGTACCCCTATGTTATTATGGACACTGGGTTCTGGTGTTACTTTACAGGCTTACACTGAGTTTGGCATTTGGTCTTCATGCAAAACAAAAAGTTACATCTTGGAATTTTCTGGCTAGAGCAAATCTTTCCTTTAACTCGTCTTTCCCTTTGAGACATAGGAAACTGGCAATTGTTTTTTAGTGAGGGCCAACATTGTGGAATGAACATCTAAAATTTGTCGTTTGAACAGAGTGTCCCAACAGAGCTGTTGATTTCCATAATTACTGTAGGTTTCTTGGGTGGAACTTTTCGAGCCTGGCCTCTCTTTTTCGGAAGATTGTCATATCATGGGCTGCATACTGTTGTCTTGAACATTAAATCTTCTGGAGATGGAGTTTAACCCTGTTTTAAACCTCTCCATTACCTCTGCTATGCATCCTTTGGCCATCATGATGCTGTTTGTTTAATAACGTCTTTCCTCTCAGACCAAATTGCTCTATTTACTTCCTGGACCTGTCTACATTGATTTAAGGGTATTGGATTAAAGTGTGCAGAATGTGTCTGCTCATCATATTACTAGTTATGTGCTATCTACTTTCTGTTACTTTATTGATGGTTTATTTATGGACATCATTATTTTGGGAATGCTCTCATCAACAAAGGACTTTCAGCTCTCTCTGTTCCTCTTTTAAAGGTGTGGATTCTGACAAAACTATCACGACTCAGAATATAGGACCCGGTATTCAGCCAAGACAGTAAGATTACTCCAAAAGTGTTTATTAAGAAACATCAGGCTGCAGGGCTGCAGTAGCAGCGGCTAGGGAGTCTGAAGCAGGAAACTCTGGAGAGAAACAGGTTAGTGACCATATAAATCTAATGGAGGAAGATTATGAATGAGTCAGTCACCTGGTTTACAAGTTCAGTCCATAGCCAGAGAACGAGGTAGGATCCAGCCGTTGGGCTGCATACAAGATGCGGTGGGCGCCGCCCAGAGTGTCCCAGATGCTGCAGCCCCTGAGAACATGCAGGAATCCAAAGCCATCTCAGGCAATCCGTTCAGATGAAAACAGGCAGGCTTGGTGGTTGAGAGGCAGCACAGGTCAGGATCAGGTAATCAGAAACACTCTGGTAAGCTAAAAACGCTCTCACGACGAGATCAGACGAGAACAGGAAGGCTCAGAACAGGTCAGGATCAGGTAATGAGAAACACCAAGGGACTCTAAAAACAGTCTTACCACTGGCTGGAAAGAACAATAATAATCTGCTCTGATGACTGGATGCAAGCAGCTTAAATATAGGCAGTAGCAGGTTGATCAGATTAGAGGTAATGAGAAAGCAGGCAGAGTTAGACGGGGGAATGGAATGAGTAATTAAATTAGTCATCAGTGCCAACATCATGACAAAAACAGACACGATAGCATGAGCTATGAATGCATTCTTCTACGCTGCCATATTTATTTTGTCAGATGTACATTCAGCACCTCTTGCTTTCCTCACAGCTATCCCGCCTTAAACCATAATGCTACGATATGGTTGGCCGACATTTTCTGGGTCGATCTTGAACATTTAAGCTGGAGCAACACAGATGGATTCTCATGTGTTATTTATCCTACT